GCTCCGCGAGTCAGATAGACGACGCGTAAAATGCACGGGCGTCAAATCAAACATGGATGGACAGTACCAAAACAAAATCCTCAATTTTTTCTTGTGTTTTTTTCTTCATATTTGTCATGGCATAGATAACGTATCCCTGATATTTTAGATAAAAAAGCTATCTTTGAAGTGAAATTTAGAGGGGCCGCAAGTGTATATATGAGTCAACTGACTCATAGAAACCCCATCCAATAAAATAAAATAAATAAATGAGACGTTTACCGTGTGGTCAAACCCGCACATGTACAAATGCGGGCTTGGCAATAAAGGGAAAGGTTTATATACTTCCACTATAGCATAAAAGATCTATGCTTCCCCTACCATCCAGCCATCCAATTTTGATCAAGAGAGCTTCTTACCGTATGATCTTAAATCCGACATCTTGAAGTATTTTATTTTTAGTTTTTTTTTATACAAGTTGTATGAATATGAAATTTGGTATGTGTTATTTTCTCATTGGGGCACACTTATAAAAATATTAAACATAATTTTTTGATAAAATATAATGACCAAAATACCCCTTTAATCTTTCAGGGGTATTTTGGTCATTTTATTTTATTGAAAATATATTTTTAATATTTTTCACTAGTGTAAGTTTAATAGAGGAATGGACATCCAAAATTTGGTGTCAAAATAATTTATAGAAAAATAATTAAAAATAAAATAGTGTTGAGACGTGACATTGTGATTGGGGCAATCTTAACCCTCCATTCAAAATGGACGGTTGGATAAGGGGAAGTATATAAGTTTTATATTGTAGGGAAAGCATAGAAAGCTTGCCAGGCAATAAATATATATTTTAAATATAATTTGTTCCTAATTTTTAGAGAATATATAATCTTTAACATGGAGATGAATAAATAAATAAAATTTGAAAATTAAAAATAATAATTATATTAAGAAAACATTTCGACTGTTAGTTACAATTGTTTTTAGATGGACCACCTATTGGAATCCATCTTTAAGATGGATGCTTTATACCTCTAGTGGACTGCATATTGTACAAATGCGGTCCGGTCCGCATGAAGCAACCGTTAATAAGTAAAAGTTATAACTATTTATATTAAACACTCCAAATAAATAAATATTGCGAAATATTATGAATCAAGGTAAGGTAACTTAGAATTTAGGAACCTTTTTAGATGCAAAACAAGATTTCAAAAGTTAGTTTCATCCATCAAAATCGTATATTTAACCTACTAGAAACAAGATAAATGAGAATATGAATTATAATACACGAAAGAAGGCATACTGTGGTTCACTCAAAGCAGCTAAATGGGTATAACAAACTAAAATCATTGTATCAATGATTTGAGACACAAAAGGTATTTTAATAACCACCAACAATATACAATTGGTCTTATTAACCATCAACAATACATAGTCAAACAACCCTTGAAACCACTCTCCCAATTGACATCACATGTGGTTTTCCCTTCTTTTTTCTTCTGATCATTTGTACCAAACACTCCTTATAGAGATGCAAGAGTAATAAGAAATTAAAATTCTCTAAAGGAGATGCCAAAACCTCCACGATAACTGCTTCTCAACCAACAAACAAGTTTATCTCTCCACACGAGGCATAGATGCACCGTCTCTCTCACTACAAGCTCTCTCTAGAAATTCACTCAGATACTCTTCCTTGCAGACTAGAGGAAAGTCCACCTTCGCCAGGAGATGACCTAAATGGTGCACACATATTTTTGTCCTCGTATTGTTCATGTATGTCACATATATCTCAGAAACCAAGAGATATAATTAAGAATTCTAATCTTGTTGGCCTTGTATTTTCTTTACTCAAATCTTTACCCGAATGGTGATAGGATTCCCATGGGACTGTGATTTCTTTGAATATCAACGTAATGGTGACTCCAAGTGGTTCTTTCAATATCAAGAGTTATAACAAAGTCCCCTGTGAATTCTTGAACATTCAGTGAAAATATTGAAGAAGTAAACAAACATGATTATGCTAACAAATCAAACACAAATCACTCCAATTTTCATATCTAACCGACACAAGAATTGAGCATGACCAATAAATTCAAGGGATTAGTTTTTCTTGATAATTTTTTGCATTGAAGTTCCACAACTAACGACATTTTCATTTGCTAAGTATACGAATTTAGTACTTGAAGCGCTGGACTTAGATATGTTTTGATAGGGCTGCAACCCTGTCGTTATAGTTAAGCCTCGCATCAAAAGTCAGAAAATTATAATTGTCGTTTAAAAACCTTTAAATTGATTATCTTGACCTTAATTATTATAGTTGTGAAAAATATTAGGATATTCAGTCATAAATATAGTATACACAATAGATTATCTCCGTTCATTTTTAACTGTTACGGATCCACAAGATTTGTAACATTTATTGAGTTACAAATTTTATAGTTGGTGGTAGAAGTTGATTCTAGAGCCATCGTAGATGTTTCTCATGCTCGAAGTGTTTTTCAGACGAAGTTTCGAGATGAGGCTTTACTTTTTTCACAAAGCCTACGCTTTATAGATACTACATCCTTATCAAAAGAATAAGGTTATAACCTTAAACAATCCAAGGCGTACCTCCAAATTTCATCATAACATGTAATTTTGGTGTTAAATTCTTAGGATTATCTGAAAATCTATTTTCATAACTAATTATAAAATTTTAAACTCAAAAGTGGTTAAAATCAAATAGATTTATAAACATGTGACAAACTTAAAAATAAACGGGCTCGATAATATATTTCAAGATGCACTATTTTTGGGACTCAAAATCTCTCTTTTTTTCTTTTTTTCATGCATCTCGATGTCAAGATGATCAATTAGAAGGTTTCATAATATTAAAACAATATTCTTCAATGGATTTCTGAGGTGTGTATATAATTCTATATTTTAAAGTTGCAATCGTATATAAATTTTTCCCTTATAAAAAAATAAAAAAAGAAAAGATACATGCATAAAATACTAAAATATTGAAACTATTTTTTAATTCCAAAAATATATACGATATTTATCTAAATTTTCCAATTACAAAAGAGGGAAGTAACCATATTTAGTCTCTTTATTTTTTCATCTCTTCTTTCTAATTCATCTTTAGCTCCTCTTTAATTTAATAAAATAAAAAATTTATATAAAGATGCAACCTCATAATGTAGAACAACGGATGCCTTTTCAAAATCCACCAAAAAAAATAGTTTTAATGTTGAAAAACCCTTTGATTGATCATCTCCACACCGAGATATATGATCACGAAAAATAAAAAGTTTTTAAGTTTTAAAAATAATACATTTTATAATATACTATCTACACCGTCCATTTTCAACTGCACCCTTAAAAGAAAGAAACAGAAGTAACCACATATTAAGGAACGTTGATGGAAATGCCAAGTGGCACAAGCATATGCCTACGTTGAAAATATACGGAATCCGATCACCAAACGCATCTATTTTCCGAGATTCTGTAAAATCCGAAGAATCTTAATCGTACATAATAGTAATTCATTTTCAATGGCCTCATAAGTGTAACTACTAGTCAATATAAATTAAAGCGACAAACACGAGAAAAATTGATTGGACATGTCTTTTATTCAAATGACAAAACAGCCTTGAGCCATTAGTTAGATAAAGGAAAAAGTTTATGGAAGGTTATAATTTTAAAATGTAGAATAACATGTGCACCTCAATAACCTTTATGAAACATTTGTTTTAATGTTAAAAAACACTACGATTTGGTGTCAAAATGTATGAATTTGAAAAAATAAATAAAAAAATTGAGTTTTAGAAATAATGCATATTGAAAGCGTATTTAGATCGTCCATTTTTAAAAATTTTATATATTTAGAGACTACTTGATTTTAACCATTTTTAGAGTTTAAAATTTTATAATTAGATTTAAAAATAGATTTTAAGATAATCATAAAAAAAATTTACAACAAAATTACACGTTAAGATAAAATTTGGAGGTACGCTTTAATTGGATTGTTTAAGGTCGCAAACTTATACAGACTACACGATAAAGATGCCTCTATAAAATCCGAAAGACCTCTTCTCTATAAGATATCAAACCAGGGAATAAGGACTCTATTATTCTCAAAACAAAGTAATTGAAAAAATCATCGATCCCACTCGAAATCATGCAAATTGGATTATGATAATTAATTAGGCCATTTTAGTTTTAAGAAACTCGAAACGCTTCTATTTGTTAATTTTAGCTTCTATTTTAAATCTCTTTTGTTGCATATAGCTTGATCTGGCTCGAAATGACCCAAGTTGGATGCGTTGAATCAAAATCAAACAATGGCAAGTCAAGTCCCAATACTGATTTTTGCAAATAGACCACTTTTTATACTCAAATCGTGCTCACGAATCGGGGTACTAACCAAGGTTGCTTAGGTAGAAAACCCCTAAAGTAAATAATTGAGTACAATCCTGTATAAAAAAGGGAAAGTTTATATAGAGTCGAGACTTTAAATAATCAAATTAGAGCTTATCTCAAATTTTTCACTAAAAGATGTTTTGATGCTCGAATATCCTCAAGCTGATTATCTCGACATCAAGATGCATGGGCATGAGAAAAAAAAATGGATTTCAAGTTTTGAAAATAGTATATTTTGTAACGCATTTTTGGACCATCAATTTTCAAGATTACAAGTTTTCATAGATCTGTCAATCTACAATATTTTTGAAGTTTTAAAGTTTATAAATAAAGATGAAAATATATTTTTAGGTTAGCACAAAGATTTTCAGTATTGAAACTACATTTCTCTATACTATTTGAAGGTAGAATTTAATTTGATTGTTTAGAGCCTAGGTTCTATTAAAAAAAACCGCACCCCTATAAAAAAAAAAGAAAAAAAAATGTATATTTTTTATTGTTGATATATGCAATTGGTTACTGAAAAGAATAGGGGTATTTTGGTCACCCAAGGAAACTACAAAAAGTAACTCTCCCACAACAGCAAACTGGCAGCTATATCCTCCAAATTTGGAGGACTGCTCTAAAATAAACGTCTCTCCTCCCATCTCTCTCTCAATCTCAATCTCAATCTCAATCTCATCTATCTAAAATGGAGGATTCAGCTAAAATCGTGTAGCTCTGCATATGTGAAATCCCTATACCCTCCAATCAAATTACAACACTCTTTTTTTCTCCCTATTCTTCCCAAAAGCAAATGGAGAATTCAGCTGCAACTTTTGAGCAAATGTGAAGGAATTCATCCCTTGAATCTAACTACCATTCCATTTTGCATCTCCCTTCATCATATCCTCTCAAAAAATGGAGGATCCCTCAAAATCCATTACCACCTCTCTCTGTAAGTCTCTCTCTCTCTCTCTAATGGATAATCCCTCTGTCTCTCTCAAATGGATAGTCCCTCTCTCTCTCTCTAATGGGTAGTCCCTCTCTCTTTCTCTCTATGAATATTGTTCATTTTTTCTCTCTCCCCACTTTCCTAGAGAGATGTTCTCTCTTTCTCTCTAGATGGGTTATTTTCTCTCTTCTCTCTCTACATGGGTTTTCTCTCTCTTCCCTTACTTATTTGTTTCCCACTTTCTCTCTCATGAATTGCAGTGGACAAGGCATCTTCCTCAACAACAATAGAAGAACCCAACACCTCCCCTGAGAATTCACCCATCGAGCAAGTCGCCCTAACGGTCCCCGTTACCGATGATCCTTCCCTACCCGTTTTAACGTTCAGGATGTGGTTCTTAGGGGGCCTCTCTTGCGTTGTTCTCTCCTTCCTCAACCAATTCTTCTGGTACAGGACCGAGCCTCTGAGTATAACCTCGGTTTCAGCACAAATTGCGGTTGTGCCCCTAGGCCACCTCATGGCCGCCGTCCTACCTACTCGCCCCTTCTTCAAGGGCAAGCGTTGGGAATTTACGCTGAATCCAGGGCCTTTTAATGTGAAGGAACATGTTCTTATAACTATTTTTGCAAATTCAGGGGCTGGATCTGTTTATGCTATACATATTGTGAGTGCAGTGAAGATATTTTATAAGGAGACCCTCTCTTTTTTTGTGGCCTTTTTGGTTGTCATCACTACTCAGGTGAGCTAAGGCCCTTATTTTTTAATTGAAAAATGGTTATATATTTCAAGAAAGTTTGTATGAGTTTTCAATTCAAAAATCTTATAAAAGAAAGTGTTTTCATTCGGGAGAATCATCAAACTGGAACCTCGAGTTCTGTGGATATAAAATATATATATATATAAAATTTTAATTATAAAAATAATATATTTTGTAAGAAGTGATATGTAAAATAATATTTTTGATTTTTTAAAATATAAACAACTGTCTGAACCATCGGATGTCGGTCGGATGAGCTTTGAGTAGAAGAGCGGGGATCCGCAACCATCTGATTGTGATATCTGACGGTTGAGGGAGTTGTTTATATACATGAGACATATATATACATGTAGTATTTTATTCCTTTTTTTTATTTTTCTTTTATTAAGGGAATAATGTGGATTTTGCTTTAGGTGTTGGGGTTCGGATGGGCAGGGATATTTCGGAAATATTTGGTGGAGCCAGCGGCTATGTGGTGGCCATATAATCTTGTCCAGGTATCGCTGTTTGGGTAAGTATTTCTTTTACCCCCTTTCTGTTTTGTTATTTGATAATTTTTGGGAAGGACACGGTTTATATATGTCCACGTAGAAATTAGTCACCTTTTAAAAAAATCAATTTTTAAGATGGATTTTTGGACTTAATTTTTTAGAGCATGTAATCTTTAATATGAAGATCATGAATACAATAAATAAGTAAATTTAAAAAAAAATAATAATAATAATTCTGTTAAGAAAATTTTTGGGTAGGTAGTTTCAAATGGACCACTTATTGGCGTCTATGTTTAAGGTGGACAACATAATGTAGGAAGGTGGTTCGACCATGAAAACAATTTTTTCCTTTCAGAAATATCAAGAGAGTAATGATCTTATAAGACCTTTTTCCACCTCAAAGAATCATTATTAAAGTTGACATAAATCTCTAAAAATACTATTATATGGGTGTGGGATTTGGCTTTTTTTATAGATCTATGTCAAATTTAATGGTGATTTTTTGAGATCCTACACATATTAGTAGAATTTAATGGTGATTTTTTGAGATCCTACACATATGAGTGGGAGAGTGGGTGGGAGAGTGGAAGAGGGTCGTATAAGATCATTTCTCATATCAAAATAGTGCTCAAAACATCTCTATATATTATGGAGATGCTCCAAAACTTGTGATTGGTCCTTCGGATATTGACATTTTATTTTGGACATGTTACTCTTAGCAGCTCTTTCTAACTGAAAATTGAGTTAGGGTCAATGGACTTGAATCCAAGTACTCAAGGTATAGAGGGTAAAATGGTAATGAATATGAAAGGTACAACATCGTGAGTGGCCAAATCTCATAGCGTGGCTTTATGATATTTAAAGTTTTGGTATTTTACGAACCTTTCAAATCGTTTTCGAAAGCTTTTAAGTAAATATTTAGGACCCCAACAAAAACAACGTAAAAGGTTTTGTACCAGGGAACCATGTTGGAAAAACCGGAAAATCTAACCGTCCGGTTAGATCGGAATTGAGCGGTTATTAATTATCGGCTCCAGTTTTTTATGGTTTTGGTGGTTGGCCGGTATTTTAATAAATTTTTTTTTAAAAAAAACTATAAAATCCAATAATTAAAGAATTTGATTTGTAATATATTTTTTAATATTATTTACATTATGGTAAATATTAGAAATTGTTTTGGTGATTAATACTCAATTTTATATTTTCCCATCTTTTTCGAAATTTTTTAAAAATACCCTTAGACACAAATCAATTCTTTAAAATCCAAATTTTTCATTAATTTTCAACTTCTTTTGAATGTGTTTTTGTTTTTAACAACTTTTTATAGGGTGCGGTTTTAATAGAGCCTAGGATCCAAACAATCAAATTAGAGCCTAGGCTCTAAACAATCAAATTAGAGCTTACCTTCAAATAGTATTGAGAAATGTAGTTTCAATATTGAAAATATTTGTGATAGCCTTAAAATATATTTTCATTTTTATTTATAAAGTTTAAAGCTTCAAAAATAGTGTAGATCGATAGAACTATCAAAACTTGAAAATCTTGAAAATTGACGGTCTAAAAATGTGTTTCAAAATACACTATTTTCAAAACTGGATGTCGATTTTTTTCTCATGTTCATGCCTATTGATGTCGAGATGATCAATTTGAAGATATCTGGGCATCAAAACAACATCTTCTTGTGAAATTTTTTGAGGCAGGCTCAAATTTGATTGTTTAAAGCCCCGGCTCTATATAAACTTTTCCCTTTTTTATATGTTTTTCATATTCAGTAGATTTTTTTGTATCTTTCTTAATTTTTTCAACAATTTTTTGACAGTCCGAGACTTGTCCTGTTAGAACTGTTTAATCGGCTAGTTTACCAGTTAGGCCGGTTAAACCGCTTTTGACCCTATGTCTGGTTAATCATTTCAGTTCGGTTTTACGAACACTGATAGAGACGTAGATTTCCGAACCGCTCTTCAATTTGAACTTGTTCGACCAGACCCGGTTCGAACAGATAAATCCGGTCGAACAGATAAAACCCGGTTCCACCGGAGAGGTGAGTCAATCGTTATAAATGAAGGGCCACAAAGGGTAATAAAATGGCATTAAATGATGGATTGGCTTGTTGCGTCCTCTTTTACCGGGGCTTTAATTTTGGCAAGTGGGGTGCCATTGCGTGAACTATAATTTGTTTTTTTTTTATTATTTTAGAGTAATGACACTATGAGACCTTCTCACCGTATTTTAAAGGTTTAATATTAAATTTTGATACAGATTTTTAAAAAAAATTATCACATGAGTGTGAGATTTGGGTGAATGGATTTATGGATAACTTTTCTAGATATATGTATCAAAATTTAATGGTGATCATTTGAGATCCTACTCACATGGGTGTGAAAAAGTCTCATAGTATCATTATTTATTTTTTTATTTTCTACTTTAATTGTCTTAAAATGGTCTACTTTTAAGTTTAAAATAAAATAATTACTACGTATACTATGCTCCTCCTGACTAAGCAAAAAATTAAATTTTGAGTTATTGAACATCTAGATCATTCTTTCTCAAAATTGGAGGGTCCTACTGCCATTTTAGGATACCATTTTTTTAAGTACATAAAGAGTGAGAGCTGAATTTTTTTTATTTTTGAGGATGGTTGCACATCAACAAAATTTGGGATCTATAAGATATTCCTAGTGAAAGTTTTGTCCGATGGAGTAGACGGATATTATACTCCCACCGGAGTAGAATATCTTTTGGCTCTAATCATTTTTGGGAATCATGTTTGTGGCAGTTTATAATAGAGTTGCTGTGGCAGTTTATAATAGAGTTGCAGTCCATTTTCTATGCATTTCTTTTGATTATGTCGGGTAAAGCCTAAAATGAGGGGAGAGATGGGTCCATGATAAAGACAAATATGTTAAAGCTGAAAAACAAAAATAAGGGTGAAAGATGGGTGTATGATATCTTGGTACCCTTATATTTTGAGAAATTCGAAATTAATGATGACTTTTGATTTTTTTTATTTCAAAGTTATGATAATCTAGAGTGTTCGAAAAAATTGGACTGGTGGTTCGAATTAGTCATCCACTGGTTTTGAGCCGGCTTGCCAGCTCCCAAGGTTTTTATTACTTGAAAATAATAAAAAAAATGGTAGAAACTAGTGAAAACCGGTAGGTCTTAGACTCAGACCAGCTCCAACGGTTTCGAACCCGCCCAATGATCTTCAAGATCTCGAATAATTGAAGCGAAATTTATATTGTTTTGTCAATTGATAATGCTAGCATTGAGAATTTGGGGATAAAGTTGTGGGTTTTTATCTAAATACAAATTATTGTCTCATTTCTTTTACTTGACGTTGCTGGTGTTCCCATACCAAGGGTTATAAAATAAATGTATTTATGATATTTTTTTAATTTTAAATAAAATAGATGGGGCCCGGTATCCCTACTAAAAATTAGTATAATTGCTTGCATAAAAGCGTGAGGGGTACAAGTTAATTGACACTCTCTAGACAACATCATAACAGCATGGAAAAGGGGTTTGGGTCGTGGTGGTAACACCCTACACTCTAGTTATCATTGTGTTTTCATTTCAACCAATGCCGCTAAACTATTTGAAAAAAAGAGTGGGCCAGTCTTCATTACTACCCCAACAAATAAAAAATAAAAAATAAAAAATAAAAAATAAAAAATAAAATATAAAATGATAATGGCGTTTCTCGTGGTCTACTCCGAATGCAAATTGAGCAAGTGGAAAAACAATAATATAACCCCTCGTGCACGTTTTGCATGATGCTATTCAACTTTAGCCATGCTTTGTGATAAGATGCATGTGAATAGTTAAGGCATGCGCGTAGCTATTTTAATGTTCAAAAATGTTTTTGGGCCATGCTCATAACTATTTTAACGAAAATTCCTTCAAAATTGTATCTTATCACAAAGTTTAGAGGTGCGCTTTAACTATTTTAATATGAAAAAATAAGATGTAATTTTGGTATCAAAAACTTTTAAGATGGCTCAAGAATCTACTTTTATCTTTTGTTATAAAATTTTAAATTTTAAAAATGGTTCGATAAAGCAAATCTATAAACACATAAAAATCTTGAAAATTGATGATTTAGAAAATTTGTTCCACGATATACTACTTTTGGGTTTTAAAATCTTTTTTTTTTCCTTATCCATACATTTCAATATCGAGATGATCAATTATATGGTTTTTCAACATCAAAATAGCCTTTTTCCAATAGATTTTTAAGATGCACTTTAATTCTACAATATAAGGGGTCAACCTTATATAAACTTTTTCCAATATTGATGCTTACCAAGTTCAAAATGAAGGCCATAAGTCAAGAAATCATATTGAATCATAAAAATGGAAAATGTGTAAGAAATGAATATAAAAAATGACTGAAAAATCACAAAATGGCATAAATATGGAGTAAATATGAGGAAAATATTTTAAAAATATATTATTTTATAATTTGAAGAAGCGACATTTTTCATAATAATTAATTTCTATTTCTTGGAATTACTTATTGATTAAAAAGTGAGTCAGATCACTTTTATAATGGCCATTTTATGCAAAAAAAAAAAAAACTATAATTTCTTTCTTATACACATAGTTTTTCTTCTCATTCTCATTGCCTGATATACGACGTTCTAAATATCGACTCAGCCAAAGTACTTGGTCCCTTGGTTGAGCAGAGTAACTCAGCCAAGTATACACCTCAACAAAGCGTGAAAATTATAAAAAATAGATAAAAACCAGAAAAGATGAAAAGAGTCAATAGAAATCATTAGAAGACTTAATCAAGATGAAAAAAATATATAAAAGATGAATTATTGAAAATTTTGACTTATACTTAGAAAATTAAAGAAAAGGAAAAATATGGAAGTTCGCAAATCATCTTATAAAGTATCAAAATCATCTAAGAAAATATTTCTAACCACTATATTTTTTGAATTTCACATTTTGGCAGAGCTTTGCATGAGAAGGAAGAGAGACGAAAAGGAAGCCTAACACGAAACCAGTTCTTCCTCATTGCTCTAATGTGCAGCTTTGCATACTATGTCCTACCCGGCTACCTATTCCCCATGCTCACCTCTCTCTCTTGGATTTGTTGGATTTTCCCTAAGTCAGTGTTAGCCCAACAACTGGGCTCGGGCCTTTATGGCTTGGGCCTTGGTGCAATTGGGCTAGATTGGTCCACCATTTCCTCTTACTTAGGCAGCCCACTAGCTAGCCCTTGGTTTGCAACTGCTAATGTGGCTGCAGGTTTCTTCATAGTCATGTATGTTATAACTCCACTATCATATTGGCTTGATCTCTACCATGCTAAAAGGTTCCCTATATTCTCGGAGGACCTCTTTACGTATTCCGGCCAAGAGTATAATATTACGGCCATTATCGACTCGAACTTCAATATTGATTTGGAGGCGTATGAGAAGGAAGGGAAGCTGTACCTTAGCACGTTCTTCGCGATGACTTATGGTGTTGGGTTCGCTTCTCTCTCTGCGACTGTGGTTCATGTGGCTCTCTTTCATGGCCGGTGAGCTTCGATTACTACTATTACGTTTATTTACTGTTATCGTCGTTAAGGAGAAAAGAGGTGGTGTTTGGTTTAAGTAAAAAGGTGGTGTTTGGTTTAAGTAAAGTTCGTTCGACTTTTTAACAAGACAATAATAATTTCTTGACACCTCTTAGAACTTGGGGTTATTTTTCACCAGTTTCTAAGAATCAGTGCTAACTTTATAAAATCAGTTGTATTTCTTTAGGGCACGTTTGGTTCGCGTGAAAATACTATGTAAAAAAATTCCCTCGCATGGTTTGGTGGGGGAATGATTTTCACACCAATTAGCTACCAATTGGTGTGAAAGATGCACTAGGACCAATTGTATTAAAATACTTTCATATTTAACCACATGAGGAAATTCTTTCACGTGAAAATACTTCCTGAGAAATATTTCACACGAAACAAATGTGCCCTTAGTTGTTAGGTTTTTCCCCATTATGGCTGTTAAGCTTGGACCCGAATTGAAAACATGTTGTAGTTAATAAAGAACCTCCATCACAGCTCTCACTAGGATCAAATTTGGATATTGAATTTTATTGACATATGACAATTTAGTTGCTAAGCTACATTGAGAGAGATCATTGAAGATTTATAACTTTTTGCTATTCCTTTTGTAATTTGACAAAATACACCTAACTTTTAATATTACAAGGAATAACACCAACCTTTTATATGACCATTAACAGCCTCCATATTTTGAATTGGTCCATTTTACTCTAGTTTTCTTCTCATGCAGAGAAATATGGCAATTGAGCAAATCTGCATTCCAAGAAAAGAAGATGGACATTCATACCAGACTCATGAGCAAGTACAAGCAAGTACCAGAGTGGTGGTTCATCACTATCCTTATAATAAACATTGCAGCCACCATTTTTGCTTGTGAATATTACAATGCGCAACTTCAATTACCATGGTGGGGAGTCCTACTAGCATGTGGCATTGCCATTTCCTTCACTCTTCCAATTGGAATAATCACTGCAACCACTAATCAAGTATGCCCTTGCCTTTAATTCAACAATTTATTGAATTTTTTGCCAGAATGTTTTTGTTTGGTGAGTTATTATGTGATATTAGAGACAGATGGCCTAACTTGTGGAATTAATGATATCAGCAACCTGGCCTAAATATCATCACCGAGTATATTATTGGATATCTATATCCTGGTCGACCAGTGGCAAATATATGCTTCAAAGTTTATGGGTATATCAGTATGACACAAGCTGTGACATTTTTACAAGACTTTAAGCTTGGCCACTACATGAAGATACCACCACGAGCAATGTTCATGGCACAGGTAAAAGAGAAAAGACAATGGTAGAATTTGTTTCTATTTAAAGGCCATGTTTACACATTTGAGAAGGCCAATTCCGCACAAATGCCCAGGATTGAAATAAGCAGGAAAGATTTAACTGTTTGACATCTTTGCTTAGCAGTTAGAGCATACATGTTCCGTCACTAACATCTAAGGTGCTTATCCCATTTTCTCTACCAGAACAGGAGTAAGAACACGAAGAACAATGCATGAGCTAACTTTGTAAATCTCACAATGTGTGCACCCTCACCAAATGCACCATATCACACAACATTCCTTACCTATAGAGAGAATGTCGTGAGCAAACATTTATAGTAGTTGAATGTTCTTCCTAATCAGGCTTGCACCTATACTTAGCATGCACCTAAGATTAAATTTTGATAAAGAAAACTCCTAAACAAATGGTTAATCATCTGAATAATGATTTCTAATATGTTAATTGTAGTGATTAGAAGCTCGTTTTCAACATGAAAGACTCACGGAGTCACCTTGCCTAGGCCAGTTGCAGAGTTTTATAATTGAAAAATCTAGTCAAGCTGAAGAGTTTTATAATTGAAAAATTTAGTTGCACCACGAGTTTGTTATTTATGTACATCTGTTGTTATTTTGTCATGTAAATGTTATCTAGTGGAGTGCTAGAAATGTGGTATGGCTTGCCCTATTTTTGCAAGATAAACATTCGACTCGGTGAGTCGATTGGGTTTTGGCAATGACTCTGTTGGCCGAGTTTTTGTGTTTTTGAACAGTGTATAATAGTGAACTCTCGCCCATCTTGCTACCATTCTTGCCCAATCATGCTTAACTCTAGAAGTTGGTCTAACTTTTCATGCAGATAGTAGGAACTCTGATCGCAGCCATGGTCTACCTAGGAACTGCATGGTGGCTTATGAATGCAATCCCCAACATCTGTGACACTTCAGTGCTTTCCTCTGATAGCCCATGGACATGTCCCATGGACCGCGTCTTTTACGATGCTTCTGTGATATGGGGGCTCATTGGACCACGTCGAATTTTCGGTGACCTTGGTACCTACTCAGCTATCAATTGGTTCTTCTTAGGTGGAGCTATCGCCCCCCTTCTTGTATGGCTTGCTCATCGCGCCTTCCCTGACAAAGAATGGATCCGTCTCATCAACATGCCAGTTTTAATAGGGGCAACAAGCATGATGCCTCCGGCCACTGTGGTGAATTACACTAGTTGGATTTTGATGGGATTTATCTTCAGTTTCGTTGTTTACAGGTATAAACGTGATTGGTGGACACGCCACAATTACGTCCTTTCTGGTGCACTAGATGCAGGTTTAGCCTTTATGGGGGTGTTGCTATACTTGTGCCTAGGGCTTGAGGACATAAGCATTAGTTGGTGGGGTTCAGACCTTGATGGTTGTCCCTTGGCTTCTTGCCCTACAGCAAAAGGGGTGGTAGTCGAAGGCTGCCCTGTTTACTAATTGCGTATAAAAGTGTGCTTTCTTAGGTGTGTTTCAGGTTTCAAGAGCCACATGTATGATCTCCCTCTCTCTATATGTCTGTATAGAAGGGTGCTCACAGCATACAAAGAAATATCTTGCGGGGCCAAACCAAAGTGCAATTTGTTATGTGAACAGGAAAACAAAAAGGAAAGTTACAATTATTTGTGGGAATGCACAGGAGACCATTAGGAATTGCACAAAGTTACAATTCTTTGTGGGGTTCTTGATTTTGAGTTGGCTTAAACTCTCATGGGATCAGCTATAGATATTTATAATTGAATTTGTAAAATGTTATCAAGCTACATTGATTTGAGCTATGAAATGATGAAACCAAGTATTAAATCAGTAAGGACTTCAAATTACAACGGAGACGAAGGACATACAGCTTTAAGTACACTAAAAAAAAGGGAGTGCAGTCTTTGTGAAGCTATGGCCCCTCTGGCCAGGAGAGTCAAAGGGCATGACTTCACATAACTAATTTTTTGGTTTAAGTTATGCTCTCTTATATAACTGGATGAATTGTTGCAGGTGCTTGAGCAACATGAATTATTTAAAATTATCAACATATTCTAAAATCCAAGTACCAAGACTATCATGTATCTGACAGAGATGAAACAAAAACAGATTCAAATCTTTAACAAAACTCTTGAAGTATGGAGCAAGAACTCATCTCAATTCGATGAATCTTCACTCTCGCTGGCTTGATTCCAATAGCATAATGAAAATTGCAAAGGCTTTGATTGTTGATGAGCCTATTTTGTCATGCGCATACCTGAGAGAAGAAGAAGAGAAACATATTGGGTAATATTCTAGGCTAAACCAATCCTATATGATAGTGAAATCACAATTTTCTACTCAACTTTTTTTTTATATATATATAAACTGCTGATGTATTTTAGGAATGGCGTTCTGTCATTTCAAATTCCCTCCAAAAATAATTTTAAATTTAGAATGATTATGTTGACGTTTTCATTAAAGCAATTTAAAAATGCAAATATGCATTTTTTTACATTTTTGGAACAAATTATGTTATTTTATAGGAGTATGTAAGTAAAAATTTTTAAATTAAAAAATTCCTAGTGCTCCATCAAAATAAGATTAGCCTAAAACAACTATTTTAATTAATTACAAAAATTACATAAATATCCCTTATATTTTGCAAATTTAAAAATTATGCCCAATGTTCATATTTTATGCTCACGACCACTTTTTCAGAACATATATAATTGATTTTAATAGTTTTTTTTATAAATTGGATGAAGCTCAAATTTTGGGTCTATATTTTCGTATTATGCATTTATAAAAAATAGGAAAATAATAAAATTAAATAAATAAAATAATTAAAAATTCCAAAATACAGGTAAAAGTCTGGTGGATATATTGCTTTTTATTTAATTTTTTTTTATATTTTTTAATGATGTGTGATGGTGGAAAATATTAGCCTACAAAATTTAAGTTTAATTTTATGTATAAAAAATAAAATTAAAATGCTAAATATGTTTTTAAAAAGTAGGACATGACTATAGAATATAAAATATAAAATATTAAGAATAATTTTTTAATGGAGAATAGTTTGATAGGGTTGCAGCCCTATCATCACCTCATAACTCATCGAAAATTACAATTTCATAAGACCTTTACATCGATCATCTCAACATGAGCATTATGGTTTTGAAAAACAATTAGAGTTCAAGTTTTAAAAATAATGTATATTGTAACAAATTATCTCAATTGTCCGTTTTATTTTAAAAATAAATGTTCATATACTATCAATATGTGTATCATTTTTCGAGTCTCAAATTCAATTGTTGGTGTTGAAAATTGCTTTTTGAGCCATGAGGTACATTTCTATTGGCCAAAGTGCTTTTTGGACGGGGATTTGAAACGAAGGTTTTTTTTTTTTTATAAAGCCCGGTCCAAACCTCATCCATTTTCAAAATCTAAAAAAATATAAGAAATATTCATCTAAATTTCCCTTATTAATTGGACTGGCCGTCACATGCTCTCAGTCTCCATGTTTGTCTCAATCTTTCATCAACTCTCTGATTTAAAAGACTCTTGTCCCGATTATAATAATTTCTCAGAGTCAAAAACCTCGACATGTGACGTAATGTTTGACATTAACCGCAATCAATTAAGTATATGCAATCCTTGAAAACAAATATGCAGAGGCCTCCTCTCCTCCTCCTCCTCAATCATCCTACATTCCCGTTTTGCTTCTCCGTTCATCGTATCTTCTCACAAGATGGAGGATATCTCAGACTCCATTACCCTCTCTCTGTGTAAGTCTCTCTCTCTTAAATGGGTACTCCATGTCTGTTTCTCTCTCTATATAGATGGGTTTTTTCTCTACCCTCTCTCTCTAGGTAGATAGGAGTCTCTCTCCATGGACTTGTGCACTCTCCCCACTTCTTGTAGATAGGTTCTCTCTCTAACCTCTCTCTAATGGGTGATTTCTCTCCCCTCTCTCTATATGGATCCCCTCTCTTGGTCTCTCTACATTGTTGCCTTGGTCTTTGTCTCACACTTTCTCTCTCTTAATTTGCAGTGGACAAGCCCTCTTCCTCAACAACTGAAGAACCCAACAGCTCCGCTGAAATCATCGAGAACTCGCCGATTGAGCAAGTCGCACTGACGGTTCCGGTGAGCGATGACCCTTCGTTGCCCGTTTTAACGTTCAGGATGTGTTTCTTGGGGGGCGCCTGTTGCATTATCCTCTCTTTCCTCAACCAGTTCTTCTGGTACAGGACCGAGCCTCTGAGTATAACATCAGTTTCAGCACAAATTGCGGTTGTGCCCCTAGGCCACCTCATGGCCGCCGTCCTGCCTACTCGCCCCTTCTTCAAGGGCAAGCGTTGGGAATTTACGCTGAATCCAGGGCCTTTTAATGTGAAGGAACATGTTCTTATAACTATTTTTGCAAATTCAGGGACTGGATCTGTTTATGCTATACGTATTGTGAGTGCAGTGAAGACATTTTATTAGGAGACTCTTTCATTTTTTGTGGCCTTTTTGGTTGTGATCACTACTCAGGTGAGTTAGGATTTTCACTTCTTTTATTATGTTTTTGGCTTTGGAAAATAATTTCTGTCAAATGTAGCTTAAGAGTTGAACTGTTTAATATCTCACCATTTCTTTTGGTCCAATTTGAAAGAGTCCATAATTCATCGTTAGTTGATCTAATTTCAAAAGAGCCTATCAAACCCATTATCATCGGTCTGGCCACTTTTGTAACAACTTCCAAGAATAAGAAGGTAAAAAAAGCTGTAAGAGTAAGTATTCTATTTCACACTGCAAGAGAGTGTACAAGCCACTTCGTGGGCCGATCCTCCTAGACAATCGGAAAGCTCAATCTTGTCCCCTTTGATACATTTGTCATCTTGATGTAAGCTAAGCATTTATCATCATCATCATAGCCTTTTTCCAATTAATTGGGGCTGGCTTCACGAATCCTGATCCTCCATGCTATACCCTCAGTGAGGCCTTTAAGTCCCCATATCTTGTGGCTAAGGCCACAAGATACATATTTAGATACACATTTATATAGCACACCTAATCCTTCAAAGTGATCCTACATTGCCTCGTTGGACTTTGAAGTTTGGAATTATGGATGTCTATGTGAAGTTTCGAATTTTAGATATGTTATATGGGACGGAATAGATTTCTTTGTTTTACATGTTATCAGGCTAGCAGGGGACTCAGAGTCCTAGACAACTAATATTAGAGACAATGAATAAATTGAAATAACTACTATTACATAAATCACGTGTATGTTTTTTCTATGCATGATTATATTTTTTAGAATTGTTTTAAATTTATTGACCACATTGGAGTTGATGTGGAACTGCCATTGAGCTGCATTGTTGTGATGGACCCCCGGCCGCATTGGGTGCGCATACTGCATTTTAAAACATTGATTGAGGGCACTATTTATATCCATGTAAGATATAAACAGGTATTATTTGATTACTTTTTCTTTTTTGTGGGAAATAATGTGGATTTTGCTTTAGGTGTTAGGATTTGGATGGGCGGGGATATTTTGGAAATATTTGGTGGAGCCGGCGGCTATGTGGTGGCCACTAAATCTCGTCCAGGTATCGTTGTTCAGGTAAGGCGAAATTGTTTTTTCTTTGATCATTTGGTTATTTTGAGAGATATCAGAATAGTACTCGGAATACCTGCATAGATTATGGAGATGCTCCAAAACTTGTGATTGTTCTCTTTGGATATTGATACAAGTTTACCTTTTTCCATAGGTTGTTGTTTCTGACCGGAAACCATGTTTGGTTCAATGGGTTATCTCCAGTACTTAAATAAAGGATGGATGGTATAATGGTTGAATTTGTAGGTCCTGGTTTGTGAATAATCAAATCGTTTTCTTTTGGCTCTAATGTATATAAATTCTTTGAGCACATTGTACCTGAATTATGATGGTGTTCCTGGTTTTCTTTTGTAACTTCTCTCAATTTTTATCTTTTGTATGTGAATTATGATGGTGTTCCTGGCTTTTTTTTTTCTTTTTATATCTTTTCTTAATTTTTCTCTTTTGAATTAAAAATTAGAAGTTTAACTTTTCAAATGATCTTTGTCAAGTGCTTTTTAGCCAACAGTTTATTGAGAGTAGGCTTCAATGGGTTGGGCCTTGCTGCCTTGCCTGGGACTCCTAGAGGCTTGGCCAAGGCCCTAATCGGGCTAAAGGCTCCTTGCCCAGGCCCCGGCCCAGCCCTATTAGTGGTTCAGGCCAGGCCCTGCCTGGCCTTTTCTTTACGGTATTTTGAAAAAACATAAAAATTTTAAAAATAGGTTGGGTGAGATTCTAACAAAACATAAAAGTTTTAGAAATAGGTTGGATGTGATTTCCAAACTTGACCAATGGTATAACTTCAATACACTGGTTGAAATTTTTTACTCGGGGGGGTGGGGGCGGGAGTAAGGTATCAATACTTACTAGAAGTTTCCTAGTTTGGGAAGTGCAATGAGGGTGTCCATACAATAAATATATAAAACTAAACCTATTTTAAATACATAAATATTTTTAAAAAGCATTTAGATGCAAAATTTACTTATTAGAAATACCTTTAATTTAGGCTAATAAAATTTGACTGTCTTCTCATATTCAAGTCCTCCACAATAATGTAGCGAAGGTATTTATCTGATTGTACATTCTAAATGACAGTAAAGAATCTTGTTTTGGTTAAATCACATAAAAGTCATGTTCTTTTCTTCACATATCTCCCTTCATTCAATTTAATAGAAAGAAAACTAATGTGTGGGGTAGATGAAGTAAATAAACATGGAAATATGGACACAGAAAGAGATAGAGATTGGAGAAAGGAGTCATTCTC